TCAAAGTTTTGGTGATGATGAAACGATGTATGCAAGGTTCGGCTCCGAAATATCTAATGGATCTGTGCAAAAAAACACCAATAACAGTGGCGGGTAGATTCTTAAGATCTTCCAAAAACAATGATTTTCAGAAACCGTTGGTAAACTCATCAATGGCGTCAAGAAGTTTTGCAGTGTATGGCCCAAGGATGTGGAATGATTTGCCAACAGAGCTGAAAACAAATGAGATTGATGAAGTGATTTTTAGAAAAAGAATCAAAGCGCACTTGTGGGATAAAGCGTTTGTGAGAACTTGAACGAGCGCTATATAAACTCTACATATATATATATATATAATTATTGTGAGAATTTTGTTGTAGCGTTTTAAATATCTGCTCAGTTTAGAGGCGGAGCCACAATTTGATAGGACATGTTTGTTTGTTTGTTTGTACTGCATTACAAAGCAAACATGATGCTTTAGTAGATTTACCCCACCTAAAGAGGTTAGCATTAGTAGGTAGCTGTTGAATAAGATATTTTCTGGTGAATTTATAGAGGACCTCTGATAGTTTTACAGTTGACCTGGACCATCGTGTTATCTCGGAGCTATTGATATGCTCTTTTATTGACCTCACAAGAGCACCTTGGCATCGGAACAGCAATAGATGATTAAAATTCGTTTCATATTGTTGTTGTTGTAGGGCATTTATTGCTGATTTTATTCCATCATTTTTTGGAATGAGGTCGTCAATCTTTCTGTAGGAGTTATGAGATTCATTCCACAGCAGTCTTATTTCCTCGCTGGCGTTTAGCTTGAGATACCCACGGAGTTTTAATCTTAATAACTCGACGTAGTGTTTCAGCGATTTGATGTTGAGGCCCCCAGTTTTATACGGCATCGAGATAACTTCAGCGATGCAGCTGCTTATGGGCAGAGACAGCCATTCTCTTACTGCCTCTATTATAAGGCGGTCCAGAGTGCATTCTATCCAGGTCAGCGACATATCATAGGTTCGTAATTCAAATGTTATTTGAGAGGGGATAAAACGTCTGAGAATTTCTAGCTTCCATTGAGCAGTCGTGTCCAGTTCTCCAATTTTCTGCAGCAAAATTTTGAGTTTATTACATAATTCATTTTTCTCTCTGGTGTTTTTGCCTTCAAAATCGTACATTATTCCCAAGTATTTAAATTGATCGTTGATATTCACATGGGGAATTTTTTTCATCGTTTATTGTTAATTGGGGTAGAAATTGTTCATATTTTCCATTGATTTTTCTCATTCCAAATGTACTACATTTATCTATTCTCATTTTCATACCCGTCCATTTACACCAGGCTTGGTTGAGATTGATCAACTTCTGGGCACCCTCAGAACTGCTAGCAATGATTGCTGAGTCGTCAGCAAATTGAAGCCAACCCCTAGATTTTAGTTTGGCTGTAGGTCACCATATATATCCGCACTGTTGGTATTCCTTTGCTTCGACTATTTTCATCAGAAGATTAAAACAAAGATTGAAGAGCAATAGAGCGCTCGGGTCACCTTGTAGGACCCCCTTTTTACTTGGATAGGTGAGGTTAGTTTGTTGCACACCGATACAGTTTTCGAGTAGTCGGCGTATATTGATCTAATCATGTTGCTGATCTTACTTGGGATGTGGTGATAACTTAAAGCAGATGAAATTAGATCTTGGCTAACCTCACCGAAAGCATTTCGTAAATCTAATAGGGTAACAATAATTGTTCTCTGATGTCTTTTGGCGTCTTCCAGCAGATGAGACAGCAGCTGCGTGTGTTCAACTACACTATCAACTTTGGGATAGAAGCCCTTTTGAATATTTTTATTGATGAAATTATTTGAATCCAGATATTTGTATATTCTATTGTTTATGAACGTGGAGAAAATTTTAAAGAATACTGGTTCAAGTGTTATTGGCCTGAAATTCGCTGGGTCGTTGGCCCTTTTTGTAAATCAGAATTGTCAGCCCTTTTCTCCAGCAGGAGGGAATCTATGACGTTCTCCAACATTCAACCAGTAACTGATGAAGGATTGTGCGGAGTAATGGACATTTTTTGAGAACTATTACTGACATCTGGTCCAAAGGGCAAGGAGATGCTCTCGACTTGCATTTCCGGATAATTGAAGAGATTTCATTAAACGTGGGAGGATTTGTATCACAGGCTATTGAAGGGTTTGGTAATGTTTTAATCCAATTTGATAGGGAATGTTTATTGCAAGATTGATCGTTTAAAATGTTGTTGAAAAATTGTTTACATTTGTCGACGCCAAACTGAGGTAGCAAATTAGGCGCCGGGTTGAATAATTTTTCACACATCGCCCAAAATTTGTGTTTTAATTGGTTTGTGATATTGAGTGTTTTTTCAAGTTTATTTTGTTTTGTTGATGCTATCCTTGATCTTATTTGTTTGCTTAGCGTTTTAATTTGAAGGTCGAAGTTGTGGTTGTTACGGCCTAGCAGCTTTAGTTGTTTCAGTTCCTTCTTTAGTTTTTTGATTGGTTTGTCGGATATTGTTGTTGAATTTGTTTGTTGTTTAATTGTGCCGTAGGTTGAAGCAAAGTAGTTGTATATTGATGACTGGAAATTGATGGTGAAGTTATCAATGTCGGTGATGTTTGGTAGAGCTGATCTTTGAGAATGGAAGTATGCGTTGATCTCAGACCATTGAATTGTTGTTTTAGGTAACTTTATCCCTGGAAGTGTAGTATCTTTTATGACGGTATTTGCTGACGATGACGACGACGGAGATGTCACCTGGTGAAGCGGGGACGATGGTAGTGGTATCTCTGCCGCGGCGACACCCGCTGACGACGACGTCGATGGAGTCGCTCGATGGTGAGGCGGAAGTGATAGTTGTGGTAATTCTGCGGTGGTAGTGTTTGCTGGTGTCAAAATGATGGAATCATCGTTAGGGTCCTTTGGAGAATTTATCGAATTATTTAAATTTTTGAATGTTTTGCACGAACGTTGGTGCATTCTTAGGCCCTTTTTACCTTTGCACTGTTTACCACAACAACAGGAAATTAGATTATTATCCATGTTAACAGAAGTATTATTTAAATTATTAACCAGTAAGTTTGGAGATATTACAATATTGTTGCTTTGTAAACGTACATTGTTATTATTGTTGCTGCTTTGAGTTGATTTTGTACAACGCCAGAGTTTAACGAAGTTTTTAAAACAGTATGGGCATTTAGTTGCATTTACTAATAAGATTGATTTAAAAATTAAAATTAAAATAATTGAATATTTAAAATTAGAGTTATTTAGTATTAATTTATTCGCCATAATTTTCCGCTACTTTTAAACCTATTTTTACACTGTAAAACTATGTAAAACTCGATTAATGTAAATAAAAACAGTGAGCTAGCAAAAACCTGCCAACTCTCATGTTACAAATACATAGAGTAAAAGTAGAAAATGAAATAATAATAATAATATAAATAATAATAATAATATAAATAATAATAATAATATGAATAATGCATAAAATATAATGAATGAAAACTCTTCTTTTATTGACTAATGACCAAAAAATAAATAAAAAGAAAAAGAAAATTCAATGCAAAATTAAAGTAATGAAATCGTGAAAATAATTCAATCTATTTTCCTCGTCGTCCAAATGAGTACAAATAGAAAGCATTAGTTATTAAAAAAAGAGCACACTTGTGATTTCTTCTGTCACAGTATATTTTGTAAGATAAAGATGAAGCAGAGTTTATTGAATTATTTATTAAATGATCTGTCCGAATAAAATTCTCAAGTGATAGATTACACTATGGACATTGAACGTTACCCCATCTGGCCAGGTTTGAGTTTGTTAGCAGTTGCTAAATGACAGTCCTCATGACAAATTTAAATTACCTCTGGCATTTGAGGTGGAGTAAAACGTCTTAAAATTTGCAGATTCCATTGGCTGTGGTTTCGAGTTTAAAAATAATCACAACAGCATTTTAATACCACAAATTATAAAAATAATAATTGTAATAATCTCTTTTATTACAGGAAATCAATGACATAAAATATCATTAATTTCCTGTAATAAAAGAGTTAATAAAATGGGACCTCTTTTTATTATCATCAAACCTCAAAATATAAAATCAATTATCATAAATATACAAAACGTTTCATAATAATAGTATGAATTATAGTAAAATTATAATAGCATTAGTAATATTAATAATAATAACAATAGCAGTAATAACAAAAATTCCTCAATGAAGTTGACAAAATACGTTTGAGGAGCATTTTATTTTTCCGCCAAAAGTGGAACGGATTGTTTCCAACTTTTAGAAACCTTTCACGTGCGAAGTTATATGTGTTGTTAAGGTATTGTATATATATTGTATATATTTATTGTAAATGTATTGCATATGTATTGTATATTTATTTTATATTTATTATCTGTATTGTATATGTTCTGAAACAACAGAGGTACATATTGACAAAACTTTTGAGGAAATAATCTTTTTTGGTTGTGATTGACAATAGTTTTTATTTTTTAGTAGTTAAAATCGACAATTGATGCAATAATAAAAAAATAAATAACATCTTACATTGGATAAATGTTAATTCTACTATTATAGTCAGTCAGTCAGTCAGTCAGTCAGTCAGTCAGTCAGTCAGTCAGTCAGTCAGTCAGTCAGTCAGTCAGTCAGTCAGTCAGTCAGTCAGTCAGTCAGTCAGTCAGTCAGTCAGTCAGTCAGTCAGTCAGTCAGTCAGTCAGTCAGTCAGTCAGTCAGTCAGTCAGTCAGTCAGTCAGTCAGTCAGTCAGTCAGTCAGTCAGTCAGTCAGTCAGTCAGTCAGTCAGTCAGTCAGTCAGTCAGTCAGTCAGTCAGTCAGTCAGTCAGTCAGTCAGTCAGTCAGTCAGTCAGTCAGTCAGTCAGTCAGTCAGTCAGTCAGTCAGTCAGTCAGTCAGTCAGTCAGTCAGTCAGTCAGTCAGTCAGTCAGTCAGTCAGTCAGTCAGTCAGTCAGTCAGTCAGTCAGTCAGTCAGTCAGTCATCAGTCAGTCAGTCAGTCAGTCAGTCAGTCAGTCAGTCAGTCAGTCAGTCAGTCAGTCAGTCAGTCAGTCAGTCAGTCAGTCAGTCAGTCAGTCAGTCAGTCAGTCAGTCAGTCAGTCAGCCAACCAATCAATCAATCATGTATTTACATTTATATAGCTCAATTTTTAAAATGCAAAACAACAAAGAACAAACTAATAACTAATTTGTCAAAAATTTATATACAAAATTTGTCCGTAAAAAATGGAAAAATGCAAAGTATAATAATAAAAAGATTAGAAGATTAACATTCGGATTACGAGAAGATTAATTTATTGCTGTTCTTGTTATGCTTGTTGTTAACTCTTATAAACACATCGGTGCCTACTAAACCTTTAAAATGTTTGTCCAATAGATAACTAATAAATAATTTAACTTTTAAATATAACAAAAAAAAATTGTATTTGATGTTTTTTTATTTAATACACATTCAGCCATATACACTCGCTTACTTAAAACACATACATAAACGAGACATATACACACACGCACACATACATACATACATACATACATAAAAAAAACATATATACATACATACATACATACACACACGCACGCACATGCATGAACGTAAAATGCGTGAAGCCTTATATATGAAAAGAAATTTTTTAACTATGCAACAAACACTCTATCGTTCGTTGTTGCATTTTATTCTTTATTTATTTTTGTTTTAATTTTACAGGTTTTGAAAATTATTTTGAGATAATTGTCAATAAAATAAATAATATTTTTTTATTATAAATAATATTTTTATAACATTTTTAAAAATATTTTAATAATAATATTATTAGTAATAATAATAACAATTATAAAATTAATGATAATTATAACAATAATAACAACATTAATGCAAGATTAATAATAAGAAATAAAAATTTAATTGTTGATAATTTAACAAACGTTCAATGTTGATGATATTTGTTAGGAACAAGTTTTGATGTTTCTAGAGACAACAAAGAACAAGAAGCAAGTTATATTGATTAGTAGGTTGATTGATTGATTGTTTAATTGGTTGATTGATTGGATAGTTTAATTGATTGATTAATTGGTTGATTGGTTAGTTGATTGATTAATTGCTCTTGATTAATTGATTGGTCTAGAGAATGGATGATTGAATGGATTATTAAGTTGGTTGGCTTATATGAAGCATTAATTTATTAGTAGATTGGTTATTTAATTGATCGATTGAATGATTATCACGTAATCAATTAGTCGTTTAATCGTGTAGTTTGCTAAATTGATAAAAAGTTTCCCACTTCAGACACCACGTTTTTAAAAAAATAAATTGCGAAAATTGTAATTATTTTTAATTACTCTTCAATTCCTGGAATAATATTTTCATAAAATTTGCAAGCCACTGTAATATTCATAAGATAGCTCCCACGGCACATTTAGTTAGGGTTATGTAGAGAGCTGCTAACGCCCACATCAACCAGCTTTTTATTTCCACTTCAATTACCGTTGCAACCTTCTGCTTTGTTGCCTCTCTCTCTTGTTGATTTGCGTCGTTGTTATGTCAGGTTAATTTTAATTTATTGCTATTGTTTCCTGCTCTTCTGTGTGTGTGTTTTTGGGGTTTTGTGAGTGAAACAAACAAAACTTTATAAATTTAGAAGAAAATTTTTTTATTCGCTGAAGAGATATATTTTGTTTCTTTGTGATTTTTCATTTTTTGCCGGTGGATTTTATGAAGCGAGACACTTCTTCGAGGCGTCACCTAATTTATATTTTCATTAATCTTCGTTAGGAAGACCGTCTGTCCGTTTGCGGGGCATCTACCGCGTGTGTGTGTGCGTGTCCTTGTATGTGCATGTATATGATTTGTATGTGGATGCATGTGTGTGTACGTATGTGTGCATGTGTGTGTACGTATGTGTGCATGTGCTTGTGTGACTCTGAGTCTATGTGTATAAATACTGTATAAATAGTGTATGTGCTTGCGTGTATTTACGTGTGGGTGTTATGTTTTTAAACGTTCATGTGCAATGTATTTGTGTATGTGTGTGTATGTGTTTGAATGTATGTGTGTGTGTGTGTGTGGTGCCAGTTCATTTTCTCTTCCCACGACAGCCTCTAAAGTGATGAAATTGAAAGACTTCCCAGATTTTGTTCTTCCATTGTTGCGGGTTGAAATAAAACAAACTACGTTTTAATACTGCCAAGACTACATAACAATGCTACTATAACTCCACTACCACCACTACCACCACTGCCACCGTCGCCGCTACCACAACCGCCACTACTAGAACTTCTACTACAGCTACAACTACTAATACAACAACTACTACTACCATCACCACTACTACCACTATCACCACCGCTATCACAACTACAGCTACTATCACTACTACTACTACTACCAGCTACTATCACTACTACTACTACTACCAGCTACTATCACTGCTACTACTACTACTACTTGCACGCAGTATAAGTGTGTATTTCTGCAATATTAATGGATCAAAGTGTCAAAATCCATCAGTTTTATATCATTATAAATCACAACACCCCGATGATGGTGAGGATAGTGATGAATATGATGATAACTGTGATTATGATGATGATAATGATGAATATGATGATGATGACGATGATGATGAATGTGATGATGAATGTGATGATGAATATGATAATGATGAATATGACGATGACGATGATAATGATGATGGTGATGATGAATATGATGATGATGATTGATGATGGTGATGATGAATATGATGATGAATATGATGATGACGATGATGATTGATGATGGTGATGATGATGACGGTGATGAATATGATGAGAATGATAATGATGATGATGATGAATGTGATGATGATGATGATGATGGCGATGCAGAAGTTAATGATGACGGTTATGAAGTGAAGATGATGATGATATTAAAACTAATAAAACCTCAGGTAAAAGTTTGAAAGATCTTTTGATGTGCATTTCTCAACCTAATAAACGAGTTAACACCCTATCTCACCTCTCTAATGGTACTACGTCTTATCA